CAGCTTCCAGACCTGGCGATCTACTTCTGAAAAAAAATTAGCCAGTGAAGACCTTATGAATGGGAGCAGGACATTATGTGACAAAGCACTAGAAAATGAGCCCCACAGGTTGGAAGGCACTCAAAATATGGCCTGGAAAGGGTTTTCTCCTTAAAGAAGAGTTTTCCTTAATGACCTGGATGATGCAGTAAAGAACCTTCTTTCATATGCACACGTGACATGGCTCAAAATGAGAATGAATAACTGTGAACATCCATTAGTAATTATAGCATGGGATATATGAAGTATGCATCTAGGAAAATAGAAGTTATAAAAAATGAAATGGATGCATAAGATCAATACCTAGGCATTCAGCTTACTGCCATACAGTCTATTCTGACTTATAACAACCCTATACAACTGCCCATGTGGGTTTCTGAGACTTTAACTCTTTATGAGAGTAGAAAGCCTCATCTTTCTCCCGAAGAGGGGCTGGTGGCTTCAAACTTCTGACCTTGTATAAGCCACTGTGCCTCCAGGGCTTCTTATCCTAGGCATTGGCGACTGAAAGGGAGTGGCATTGGCCATTTTAAATGAGAATGTAATATGATATATTATGGCTGAATGATAAATTGAAAATAAGTGCTCTTCATTGTCTCAAAGAACACATCAAGATATGTCCTGACGGACAGTACTTTCAGTGACAATGTAACACCTACAAGAAGATGAGTTAAAATTTACACACCAACTACTAATACCAGAGATGAGTCAGTTGAAGATTTGTACAACTTCTATAGTTTAAACTTATCAAACATACAATCAAGATGCATGATAATTTACCTGAATGCAAAACTTGGAGAGAAAAATAGAACTGTATTGGAAAACATGGCCTTGGTCATAAAAATGATTCTGGAGATCACATGCTAGAAATTTTGGAAAGTAATAGCTTACAAATTGCAAACACATTTCCGCAACCGTCTAAATGGTGACTATGTACTTGATCCTCACTGGATGGGATACACAGGGATCAAATTAACCACATCTCTGGAGCGAGACTGTGGAGAAGCTCAATCTCATCCATCAGAACGAAACCAAGGGCTGACTGCAGAGCAGTTGCTCATATGAAAATGCCAGAGGAAGTTGAAAAAATAAGTCCACAAAACCCAAAGTATAGCCTTGAGTATATCCCACCTGAATTTAGAGACCACCTCAATAATAGATTTGAAACAATGAAAACAAATTACCAAACACCAAATGGGATAACATCAACAATATACATGAAGAAACCAAAATGTAACCGCAAAAACAGGAAAGAAATAAAAGGCCAAACTGGGTGTCAGAAGAGACCCTGAAACTTGAATATGGAATGGCTAAAGAGAAAATTTCTAAAGCTGAACAAAATTGAAGGGAAAAAATCAATATTGGGTTGCAGTAGTGAAGGATTCTATGGGCAAGAGTTCGTCTCATGTGTTTTGGACTTTGTTATTTCCTGGACAATGACTTCATGCTTGGTAAAGTAGAATATAAGCAAAAAGAAAGGAGCCCTGTAAGGTGGTGGATTGACACAGTGGCTGCATTGATGGGCTCAAACATAACAACTGAGGATAGCACAAGACCAGACAGTGTTTTATTCTAGATCTCTGGGGTGGCCATGAATCGGAACTGGCTCAAAGGCACTCAACAACATCAACACAGGCAAGTTATTGCTTGACACGAGAAGCAGGACAAGAAGAAGGAATATACAAAATCACTGTACTAAAAAAAATTATGTCCAGCTGTTTCTGGAGGTAGATTAAGAACTAAGGTTCTGGAGGAAGAAGGCCAAGCTGCATTGAAGGCATTAGTGAAAAGCAAGGTTCCAGGAATTGACAGAATACCAATTGTGATTTTTCAACAAGTAGATGTAATGCAAGAAGCACCCAGTCACCTAGCAAAGAAATGTGGAAGACAACTACCTAGCCAGTTGATTGGAGGAGATCCATCTGTGTACCCATTCCAAAGAGATGGTCCCAAAGGGGATCCAGCCAATTGCAGCAATCATCCAACAAGATCATTAATATCACACACAAGTAAGATTTTGCTGAGGAGAATTAAAAATTCCCAGTCCCAGTTCAAGAGAGAACTGCCAGAAATGCAAGCCGGATCCAGAAGATCTCATTGCTCCTGTCAGATGTATCTTGGCAGAAAGTATAGAAAACCAGAAAGATGTTTATCTGCGTTTCATTAACTATGCAAAGGCATTCCACTCTATGGAATGTAACAAATCACAAATAAGATTGAGGAGAATGGGAATTCCAGAACACTTAATTGTGCTTTCTGTGGAATACCTACGTACACTAAGAGGCAATTGCTTCAGCAGAACAAGAGAGCATGGGGGAGGGGGGTTAAAGTAGAGAAAGGTGTGCTTCAGGACTGTCCTTTCATCATATCTATTTAGTCTGTATGATGAGCCAATAGTCCAAGATGCTGGATTATATGAACATGAAGATAAGAGAAAGACACTTTAATAACTTGTGATACGCAGATGGCCCAGCTGTGCTTGCTGAACTAAGGAGACTTGAAGCACTTACTGATAAAGATCAAACACCACAACCCTCAGTTATGGATCCAGCATAAAGAAAACAAGAATCTTCACAACTGTATCAATAAGCAACATTATGCTACATGGAGAGAATACAAAGAAGAATTGAGGCTGTGGGATTATGGCGTTGGCAGAGCATACTGAATGTACTGTGTACTGCCTGAAGAGCGAGCACAGCTGTCTCAGAAGTATAGCCAGAGCGCTTCTTGGAAGCGAGGATGGCTCACGTACTTTGGACATGTTATTAGGAGGGATTAACCCCTGGACTGTAAAATAGAGTCTCCATGAAGAGGAAGATCTTTCATGCGATGGGCTCAAACATGGCAAAGAGTGTGAGGCTGAAACATGACTGGACACTGTTTTGTTCTGTTGGGCACAGGATCGCTCTGAATCACAACAGCCTCGACAGCACCTAATAACCGCAGCACCTTGTTCACGCAGCACGGCCCTTCTTTCAGCTCTTCACGCCATTCCCTGGCCTCCCCCTCCAACACACACCTCTTTCCTTTCTTCTCGGTTGGATATGAGCATCCAAGAGGCGAAGGAAGATGCCATAGCTTTGACTCTAGCAAAGGTCCCCACAGCATGGAACCTCTCCCTGCCCTAAGCAGTGCCTGCACGCACAGTCCATGTGCCATGGGCCAGGTAGGCCTGTTGGAGCCCTGAGCCCAGCAGTCACACATGGTCTCTTTGGCTCAGGCCACCACATAGAGAACCGTCTAGTACAGTGGTGATGAGAGCAGACTAAAATAGTATCAGGTATCGGTGTAAGTTCTGTTTTGGTCTTTGAGAACAAGTGGCTAGGTGGCTAGTGGCTAGGTCTCTTAAGGCCTCAGTTTCTTTTCATCTACAAAAATGAGAATACTCATACCTCTTCCATTGTTCCTATCCCTGAGCCCCATGTTGCAGCCACGGTGCCCATCAAAGACGATACTGCTGCAGCGCCTCCGTGTAAGGACGGCGCAGGACCGTGCACTGTTTCATTCTCTGGGACATAGATAGGGTGCCTATGGGTCCGACCCGACTAGGTGACACTCAACAACACAAACAACAATATCTGTTCCATGGTGTCCTTTGTAGGAATTAAATAAGATAACATGGGCAGTTTCTGGTACTCACACAGTGTTCAGTAGTGATATTCACTGTTATTATTAGCTGTAATATTTTGAAAGAAATTAAAAGTAAGCCCGGTTCTCCTTCTGCATGGGCCATGGCCATTTTAAGCTGTAGCTGGGGCAGGCCTATCATGCCAACAGGTCGTTCTACCACTGCCTACCTGTGGGGCCTGTGAGGCGGCCTCGAATTCTAACTTCAGGCCTGTGGATTGCTTTCTCTCTGTCCTCTTGCCATCAGTGTCGTTTTCAGAGTTGATGTGGACAGATGGAGAGTCAGATAGCTTTTCCTTCGCACCTGGATCTTGCCAATTCCCTCTCTTTCAGTGGATGTGGTTTTCAAATCAGGGCTTCTGACACCCCTTTTCCATAGAATGCTGTGAGCTTCAGAAGCCCCCTCACACGACAGGCCAAGCTGAAGGATTGAGTGGGGCTTTGGACTTAATATGTGAGATGTCTGAGAGACAGAGAGGGAGAGGGACAGGGAGAGGGAGAACAAAATCACATTTTATTAATAAAAGGAATGACTTTGGAAAAATTATGTACAGTATACAACATGTTCATACATTTCTAGGAAATGGCAGCAAATTAGTCAAATCACATTGCAGACGTAGTCAGGAAATTCTCATGTGACTTTGAGTTTCCCATAAAAGATTTTTTTTGTGGTTCGGTCAAATGTCTTATGCCCAGTGTTTACACAGCACAGAGGTGCCAGCTCATCCTCAAGTCACCTTTGAACTGAAATCTTCCACAGTGCCTTCCACAACTCTAATGCTGACTTATGAAGTGATTGTGTCTGTGTTGTAAGGTGTTGGGAATTGAGGGTAGAATCAGATTCCTGAAAAAACCCCAGCACAATCACTGCCACTGAACACCCAGGAGTATCTTCCCTCGTGGTCCATGCGCGCGTGTGTGTGTGTGTGTGTGTGTGTGTGTGTGTGTGTTTAATAGTTTCCGATGCTCTGGTATGCAAGGGAATTCCTGCTGCAGCCCCATTATAGTATGAGTATCACATATGCTACAGGTTTTGTCCATTCTGACTTTAAAAAAGATGAATCTAAAGATGCTGCTGCTGCCAAGTTATAATCAGTATAACATGTCTTTGGGGACGATAACTCATCCCCAGTATTTTCACCAAAGAGAGACATTTTAGATTATTCTTTTTAGGTCCACTCCTGAAGATTGTTGTCACATCATTTATTATATTTATGATTGTTCCATTCCTAAGCTGTGGTTGCCATGCGGAGGAGCAGATTTTCCTATATTTTGCTTATAATACTCTACACATGCGCGCACACACACACACATATTTTATTTTTTCTAACTAGGTGGCTGTACTACGATTCCAGAATCAGACCTAGAGGAAAGATCCGTTGAACAAGACACCACAGAATTGTTTACCAACCACAAGCACCTCTTTGCAGAGACGCCCGTGCCTGGTGAGTGGTGATTGGTGAGTGGCCCTCACCAATGAGGGGTCAGTTTGGTCGGTCCCTGAGAGCATTGTGCAAAGCTGCTTGTTTTACTTCTTCGCCCTTCCCTTCAGCATTGCGTCAACTGAGTTTGATCATTTGTGTATTCGTTTCATTATTAAGACCTTTCTCCTCTCTTTTTCCATCTCTTCTTTACCAGAAGTTTCATCCCTCCAGGGCATCTCAGAATAGTCCGAGTACTCTGCTGGAGAGGCGGATGCCCTTCCCAAGGCTGACCCTGTGTGGACCTCACGCCAGCCACAGCTGTAGGGCTAGCCCAGGTGCTCCCCCCAGCTCACCTTCCGGGAGATGACATTACCTAGAGATGGGAACCAGAACTTTTCATTTTGTTCCAGAAGGACTTGGAATTCCACGAGCAAGTCAGGTGAAACTTGTTGGGCCAGGGAAGGAAGTTGCTTCCTTTTGGGTAGATGAATGCGGCCATTCAGAGGCTATCGTGAAAAACCATAGTTTGGGGATAGACTTTATAATTCTAAGACCCAAATAATTATAGCCCATTTTTCACAGAATTCTTATTTAGGAATGTATCAAGCTTAATAAAGCATCTCATTGGCAATCAATATCTGGTATTTGATTTGTAGCCACAGCAGTGATTTCTCTACAATGTTACTTATCCAAAGGAGAAGACTTGAAAATGTCAACAATCCACAGTAAGACTTGAATGTGAATATTTTATAAAATGGAAGAACCTGCACAGAACTTCCATATGATTTTCTTTATTAGTCTAACCATGGGAGAAGGTAAGTTTTCCAGTGTTGTTTGCGTATGTTAAAATATTTTCAAGGAAGCTAGTGCATTAATATCCTCTTTTCAATACTCCAATGGGAGTCACCTTTTAAAAATTCAGATTTAAAGACTTCACTCTTTGTTGCAATTATAATGTAAGGATTTTATGTGCTGAACAGAAGAGCTTCTGCGAAATGGAAGTAAAAATTATAGTTGCAAGATTGACTTATTTAAACAAAAATATGTCCATGCCAATTTTGAAATGCCTCTCTCAACCAGTACAAAGGACTTTAAGTGGTTTCTCTGTATACTGATGGTGTGTCCTTTATTATTTCTGGTATCTCTGCTTAGCAGAGACAGCAGAAGATGTGGTATTCATACTGTGCAGTAGAGGAGACTGCATCCACCGTTAGGTTAATTTTGCCCAGCCTAGTGTCACACTATGGAGGCCTGGTGGCATAGAGGTTACTCATTGTAATGCAGTACACAAAGTCAGTTCAAAAATCAGCAGCTGCTCCTCTGGAGAAAGATGGGCTTTCTACTCCCGTCAAGAGTTACCCTCTCAGAAGCCCACGGGGCCCGTTTCTACTCAGTCCTATAGGGGCGCCAAGAGTTGGCCTCAACACATGGGCAGTGAGCTGAGGGTCACTATGAGTTGGAATCAACTCAATGGCAATGAGTTTAGGGTTTGTTACCTGTTATGGGGACCAGTACCAACATGTCATGGCTCCATATTTGCCTATACAACTGTGGGTCACTTAACATCTATTGGACAATATTTGACTGCACACATGTGCTTGGTGTCATAAGGTTTTCAAGGGCTTTTTGTTTATTTGTTTGTTTTTAAGAGGAAACAACTCTCCTTTTGTTTACTATTTCCCTTTAATAGCTTTAAAAACCTCAAGCCCACGTTCTTGCTGCACTAGACCATGGACAGGAATCAGGCATGTGCGGCAGAGGGACATATGACTCTGGTTTTGTCTTGCAGTCAGGCCACAGGTACCACTGGTGCTGTGGGGCCAAACGGTGGACAGGGCTGACTATGCGTGGCTCCTTCCTGACTCACTTTCTCTTGCTCTACCCCTGCCCCCAACATCTCAGTCTCCACTACTGTTGGTGTCCCTTCCTCTGGCTTCTGCCAGCAGCTGTAGCAGCAGAGTCAGCAGCAGCCAAAGCAATGATGACAACTAAAAGCGGACTCTCGTC